CTCTGCTCTTTTTCAAATTTATTTTAAAGCATCATTTCAATTTTGCTGTGTGTGGTCTTTTTTTGCTAGTCATAAAGATAACAATTCAGATTTATTGCAAAGTCCTTAAATGCCAGTATAAATTTCTCGAGATGTTAAGTTTAAGAGTTTCGATGATTTACACACACACACACACACACACACAAAAATGAGAATAGATCCAATACACTTTCTCGGTGTTCAATTAGTAATGCAATCTTTTTCTGGAATTATCCATATATATATATATAGTCTCCTACAAACACATACATAACACGCTGTAAGAGGACGATGTTGTATTAGATTGAAAACCTAAGACCTTATAAAGTAAATACGTTTATGACCAGAGTCAATTGGCATTTAGGAGCTAAAAAGATCAACTTGGAGAAAAAGAGAAAAAGCCAATCCCTTAATAACAAACCATGTATCACTTAGAGCGAAATTCTTTTGAGAAGGTTTGTATAAATATTTATCAGGGAAGTTAGGTGCGATAATAGGCTTCAGATACTTTGCATTAATTGTATACTCGTTTAAAATGGTGACTGTGCAAGATTATTCATATATACACTAAGCGCTAAGTATAAATTAACAGATGATAATAGACGCAACCTCAAGTAGAAACATTTCTTATAACAAGGGAAAAGACTATAATGGACCAAGGTCCAATATTAAATCATTTTCCAAAATAAGGCGTTATTTGGAAACTGATCGGAGGAATGGTGCGATCCCAGCCATTTTCAACAGTATTCGTCTTTGGGCCACCACACGTTGGTGTAGCAAATGTCATCAAAATATGTCAAAATTGCCGCCCGTAAGGGGATTAGAAGAAAAGAAGACGGACAGATGGACAGAAGTGATTCAAAGTGACTCTAAAATCATCGATCGATTTTATTGGTATGCCAATAGTTGGGTCTATCTCATGTCCTCCTGGACGATGCATACATCCGCACTCACTTAAGTCAAGCTAGTATCACTAGTGGTGTCGTATATAAGAATAGTTTTGCTAATTTTGCTCCTACTATTTAACTACATTTCCTTTAGCAAACGGAAAGACTAGGCCCATGTTAGGCGTCACCGTTTAATTAATCATCACCTTCTTGCAAAGCAATTGAATTCTTGCAATTTTCTTCTTTTCCAAGAAAAATTGTAAAGAGAGTACGAAGTAATTAGCGGAAGAAGACATTTTTTTCAATTTTTTTTTCTTCCAATCGTTGACTTTTTTTTTGTAAAAAGGTACGAAGTTTGAAAGTAAACTGTTGACGAAAAGCGGGAAAAAGAGGCAGGGAATAGGGTAAAGTTATTTTCACTTTTTATTGTTCATCGTTGTCGTTTTGTTACGATTTTCTGCATTTAACAAGCATTTTGATTTGCATTTACCGTAAATGCTTTTTCGTTTTTAGCTTCTTGCTTTTCTGCGTCCACATTTCATTTTGTCGCGGACAATGGATGTCGGGGTTTGGCATTTGCATACATAATTGGTTTGCGTAATAACGCGGTACGACATAGGTTTGCTCAATTCCAATCATCCAATAAAAACCGATAATTGCCTCTGAGTTGCATTGGAAATCAAAAAATTACGAAAACAATTAAAAATCCACATCATACACACAAAATCATTAATATCGTAATCAATTAATTATACCCTACACCACTTGAAATAAGTTTATACGGATGACCTACAAAACACTAATGGAAGAAGATGCAACACTTCTGGTACTAACGATTCAGAATCAACCCAACGATCCACCGCAGTGAAAAATGCAACTCATGGAATTGGATCAGTTAAGACTGCTTACCTAGATTTGTTAATTTCAACACTTTTCCTTAAAGTCAGTACAAAATCATATTTTGCCATATTAAATGAAAATGGAAAGCTGGAATAGATTGGGAAAGTTTTCTTGTTGTATCTTCTATCGAAAAATCTTTTGCAAGAATAGTTCGCTAAATTCCTAAATATTTATCATTAATACATGTTAGAACAATTGGACAGAGGACGCTGGAAAAAAACTACATTACTCACTTCATTACATTCAGGGTACGTCCTCTATTCGTTTAACACGATGCCTGTCAGGAAGAACATTTAAGAAAGAGAAATAAATAGGGAGATCGTGGCCGTAGCTTAGTGGGTGTGCGTTCAATCGATAAGTGTTCTGCCTTCACTCACTATAACTATAGCAAAAGAAAACTCTATCGCACTTGAGATTCGAACCCGCGAACACTAACTTGATAGTGGCGGTTTTACTTTACTGAGCAAATCAGGCGGACTAGGATACAATCTGATCTGACCTATACGGAAATGATTCGAAAGAATTTCCCTTTCGGAGTTGGTTACGAAATATAAGCCGCTTAGATCATATATAAAGCGATGGATAATAAGTGATGAAATAACTATAGCGGATGAAAATCGTAGTGGAAGTGAAGCGAAAATCACTAGTTGATGTTCGAAAGTTCAAAAACTTCGTCTATGACAAGATTAGTTTTTAGTTGACGTACATTGCACTACGGGTTGCAAGCGTCGAGCGTAAAGAATAACGCGCTCAGTTTTATTCTGTCATTAGTCAGATAAATTACATTAAACTAAGCAGAAGGTAGCACTATAGCTGATCGAAAGAGTGCAAAACTGATTAAGCAAAACCGCGTACATCTTGAAAGAGCTTACAGGCCCGAAAGAATCAATTCAATTTGCTTGATAGGATTTTGCTATTCAGTCGGATTGACTTTTGCTGCGTTTTTTTGACATCCATTAAGATAGGAATTTTCTCGGACGGTGTTTAGTAAATCAGCAAAGAATTTGTAAAAATTTCTTCGAAAAAAATACTTCCAAATGCACAATGTTTTGTAGGTAAAGCTTTTACTTTACATTTATCATATTATTATGGTGGAAACGGTTGGATGAGAATTCATATTAATCTTATATTCTGCAGACGCTCCTATGTTGAATGTAATAAAAGGATAAGCAAGGAAGAGGAAGTCACAAGACAAGCAAATTTTACTAATCAAAAAATTGCATGAAATCACCTCAGCCGGCACAACATTTAGCGGTTTCCGAGTGAGAAGAGTACTAAGCACTTAGACAAACTATGCTATCGTTAAAAACTGATGGATCGGCAAGTGATCGGCTCTTTGCTTTAGGTGTCGCATTTAATTAATTTCTTTGTTCCTTTATTTGAACACACCATACACACACACACACAAACTCGCTGTCATTTTTCAAAAAAACTGATTTAAGAGTATTGCTCGTGAATAGCGCATTGGGTTGGAATGTGGCGGCAGGTAACCGCCTATATTTATTTTGTCAGAACGTTTGCGACACTCAGAAGAATGCTTCAGAAAATGGGTGCTTTACTCATATAGCCTGCACTATGTGTGCAAAATTGGGCAAACTGGCTACGCTCATGCAATATTATTGAAAAATATGGTGGGTGCAAAAGATACGACCATAGCCGAATAGAATTTTCTTTCTTGTTTCATTTGATGATATCGCGCATACTCGTCACATTTTTTGTCAATTTTTTTATCGCGTACATAGTTTTTCACGTATAAGCTAATGTTTACAACTCTACTGTATATATTTGAATGTGTACGTGTGATCGTTTCACTTTTAAAGTTACCACTGAAGCATTTATTCTATGCGAGCAATTTAATGCTGTTTTGTCAGAAGGCAGAATAGAGAGAATAGGAGGAACGCATTTTGGGGAATATAGGATGTCAGCAAGTGCTATTAACGACGCAATGAAAGACCCTACTTGGCGCAAACATACAAGCACGTACACTTTGACCTATAGTGCTGCTGTGCTTATTTAACTGAATTATAAAATCAAGACACATGTACTTCATCCGGCCAGGATTGAAATGTTTCTTGCTATTGGCTTTTTTGAACCGCTTTTGCCATGATGAACGTGTAAACATTTTACGTCGCGTTTTCGATCCCATTTTCTTTTTTATATACAGTCTTCAGTTCAGATCACAAAGTTGTTTTGACGAACAGTTGTTCGGTAGACACAAATGCAATCAAGATTCAAAAATTCTGTGCTTTGAACACATAAGTATTGACCTCCGATTTGACGTCCGTTCCAACTTTTGTGGGAAAATTATTTTACTGCATAAGCGAATAAATACTCGATTTCGTAGCCCAGATAATAAGTATTTAATATTCGCAACAAGCCTAATGCAGCGTTTGTGCAACAATTTTTAAATTTTTTAAAACCAAATTATCATATATTAGACACAAGCACGTGAGCATAAGAAAGTCTATAACTTTTCCATGTTAAATGACGTGTATGCAACAAAATGTTTGCTTCATTAGACCATTAAACAAATAGGTGGCAGTAGATGCAATCTGTTGAAAGATTGCATGATATTCATAACGTACCATATGGTGTTATATTTTAGTACGTTGCGTATTCCTGTGTGTGCGTCTGTTACAATATCTCAGAACTTTGTGTATTTGTTTAATTATTCGACGGGTGTTTTATCCAGAAAAGAAAATGTGATTCTATGGCACTGACTAAAAAATCAAAAAAAACAAACAAATATGTTTTCCCCCTATATTCGCGGTTCAATAAGAATTGAATAGAGTTTCAAGAGTTGAATAATGTGAGATGGCATTGTAAAAATTTTTCCCAGGTTTAATTCTTCTCATGTTGTATTACGCATAACTTAAGGATAGCACTTTCAACCGAACAAGTCAATATTCTATTCACCATTCTATAGCGCTACTTAAGCTCTCCCTGAGAAAAACTCGTATTCACACATCCACTACTATAAAAATCCAGGTCGTCTCCCGGAAAAAGCAAATGCAATTATAGTTTTCCTATGAAAACCCTGTCTTTTATTTATTTGCTGCCAAAAAATTTCGAAAAAAATGAAAAAAAAAATCTTGAATACACTTCAAAACAGTGTTGAAGGAGATATTGAAATAATCAATGAACGCTTGCAAACTATTTTGTGTGAAGAAGCGCAAAAATAAAAGTAAAGTGAAGCAAACAAGAGATAGGTGGACGTAGGAAAGATGGCAAAGGCTTAGTAAAAAGCGGTGCTAAACGTCGTCGTAAAGCATTGCGTGAAAATATTCAAGGTATAACAAAACCGGATATAAGGCGTTTGGCTCGTCGCGGCGGTGTGAAACGGATCTCCGATTTGATTTATGAAGAAATCCGAGGCGTTTTGAGATTATTTTTGGAGAATGTTATCCGTGATGCTATCACGTATACCGAACACGCTAAGCGAAGAACCGTTGCAGCAAGTGACATCATTTATGTTTTGAAGAGACAGGGTCGCACTTTATGTGATTTTGGTGGTTAATCGAAGTTACATAAAAGTAGTCTATCGTATAAAATATGCATTTATTAAAATCGCTTACGCGTAAAAATATATGCCAAACAAATTCTAAATTTGTTGATATGTATGTTTCGCAATAAGATACCAAGTCTTATGAAAAAACATTTCTGGTTTTCATTTTCATACAAAGTAATGTCAAATTTTAATTAAAATTATGATCAAGTAATTACTTAAAGCCAAACCACTTAAGCTGAGTATTAGCTCAACTTTGATTTCCATCAAGTCGTTTGAAGCAACTACAAACCAATGATAGCAAGATATCTTGTACAGTATCTCTTTAGTGTTTCCATTTGCAGATTCCTTTGCAGTCATTCTAAAACTATTCTTACTTACTCCGCTCTCAAGTGAAGCGGAGCACAGCAGAGCAAAGGGCAGCTGCCACGTAACTTTGAATCAAAGTCAGTAAAATAACTTCAGTATTTTGTGGCAGCCATAGAGTTATCAACTGTGGCGGTGAATATTTACTCCATGGTTTTATTGTTTCCATTACGTGAAAGAAAAATATGTAGGCGTATAATTCGCACGTGGTGTGTCTGCTATATATGATTAGCCAGGAGACATTTATACCATATATAAATTCTTTTTTATTTTCTTCGTACTATTTTCATACAGTTGATGTTAAAAAATTTGGAATAACAATTGCCAAACCAACTTACAGGTTAAATAGATAAAGCTAAGGGTTTTAAAAACGATATGAAGGGCTGCCCATGACCCACAGTTAAAGCAATGGAATATTAAATTCACGGTGATCACTCAGAAGATAAGTCTTACGGGGAAGCGGATGCACACAGAGGCTTAACAAATATATGGACTTACATACATACATATATATGAATGCATAAATTGTTTGGCAAAAGTAGACGGTTGATCCAATTGTGAGCAGCCTGGAGAGTAGCTCTTTCGATTGGAATCAGAAGGACAGGAAAGCGAGATAGATTTGTGCAGTAGAAATATGTGGTTACTTCTTTTTATATAAGTGATATGACGATTTTGTTTCAATTTTTCATTTATGTTACATGTGTACAGAATTTGTCGTACAAATCCAGCTCTATATGCAAAACGTACTATTTTCCAATTCGACACAACTTATGCAAAATTAATAGATTACACAGAAGAAAACAAACAATAAATATTTTTATTAGTAAGTTATTTAGTCAATTTATTTATCTATTTATATTTAATCTTTTTTTATGTTTTGTTTTACATTAAGAAAAGCAAGATTTTCTTTCGAGTAAAGCATTCTGCTAAATGCCCTACACCATTTGTGGTGCAAGAGTATCTTAAGTTTGTTCGGATATGGTGAACTGTTCCTCATGCTGCATGCAAGGACTATCGCTGTTGCGATCGGACCACCTTTTCGACAACTTCCCATCTAACATCTTGTTTTGAAAAGACGTTACATAAGTATCCGCATTAACGCGGTATGGGGCTATTTAATGGCTAACCATGACCCGCTACAATGTTTTCATTTGTTTATTATTTTTAATTTTTTTTTTTTTAATATGACTAATTGTTGAAGGTATGTCCGCTATTCGCGTAACAGTCGGTGACAGTCAGAGGAACAGACAGGAAGAAGAAAGAGATAGGATCACTCCCTGATCCTTGCCTAGTCGATACGTGGCCAATCGGTAAGTGTTAAGCCTTTACCGATTGACTACTCACTATAGTCACGAGCTTACTTTTACTCTCTGCCACACTAAAATTTGAACCTATTTATATATATATATATGTATGAATATATATTCGTCACGTGCGATAGGCGACCATTTTTCAACTTGGTCTGCGCGTCCTGTAAGCTGGCCTCTAGTCGTTAATCTTAATTCGTATGATTTTGAGTTTGCCAGATAAAGAAGATATGGAAAGTCGTAGACAATCGCCTAAAAAGCATATGTTGGTACAAGGGAAAGCGATATAAAATTCTAAATGGTCGTAATGGTCGAAGCGTACTCCTGAATGTTACAAAGGAATGGACAAATTTAGTGTAACGCTATGCTCCATCATCTAACAATATAAATGGAATCTTCATAAACTTATGAAAGAAATATTTTGTGACCCTTTACACGAAATAAATAAATATTTGAATATATTTTCGTACATTTTTTAATATTGTTTCGACATTTTAATATACTCGCAATATGTTATTCTGAGAAATTCGATCAATGAATATAAATATTTATCGATGGACTTCCTATACATGTTTTTATATGTTTTAGTTCATTATGCACTACAACATTTGTGGTGCAGCATATATATCCCAAGATCGTTGTGATGTGTACAACGAGCAGAAGAACTTGAAATGATCTTTTCGATTATATAGATCGATTCAGTTACGCTGTCTGTGTGCGTTGGATGTTTGCCCATGCATATGTGTGTTCAATTAATAGGTTGCAATTTCTGAGATATTTTGATAAGACATGGTAGGCTGATGTGTTTTCATTTTGAAAAACCGTTATATAAGAATAATTAAAAGGCGTTAAATATAAGTATAATTTTAAACAAAGTGACGGTGCGCATTTAACAGTCAGCCCTGACTGACTATACTTTTAGTTGTTTACAAATCTTGCTTTTATTAAATTTATAAAAAAATTTGCTATAAAAATTTCCGAAGACATGAATATTTAAAGTTTATATATTTAAAATATATAAAGAAAGAATTGAATAATGAACACTAATTTGAGATGCCTGACTTAAACAATTTGATGCATTTGATGTTTCACAAAGACTCGTCTTTTTATTCTTGTCAGCAAAACGATATTATTCGGAAATCTCCATGAGTCTCTCTTGTGTTCAGCTTTGCGTTCGCAAATTTTTGGGATATTTTAATAAAATTTGCTACATTGACATATTTTGGTGCAAGGACGAACGATACTGAAAATGGTTCGATTCGTATCACTTTTTTGGCCACCTCCCGCAGAACTTTGCCCGAAAAATTTGAGGGAAGAGAAAGAGCTGTCGGTCAAGGCAAGTGATTGCGTGCCCAATACCGGTTCAGCACTTACTATAGTTATGACTAAAGTAAGTGCTTCCAGTATTGAGATTTGCGAAAATTTGAACATATATTCCATGGGCTATGCTATCAGCTTCAAATTCAGAACGCACTTAAACATGTACATCTGTTCGTTTGGCCATCTGTCCGCCTTCCCATCTTCTTACTGTTTCGCATAAACATTCTCCCGTTTGCCCAATCATTCACAGAAGTATGTTTGTATATGTGTACCTTCCTCCTATTGACCTGTTACCAGTCATTAGCTATAATAAAACTCATAAAAAGCAATTATATATATATATGTATATAAATATATATATAAATTATTTCTTTCAATTTAATGTTTAAAAAATGTAAAAAAGAAATAATAATAAATATAAATATAATAAAATCACAAAAGAAAAAAAAGAAGAACAACTGGATCCCTAACCTTCTTTCGACAATAACTATTCTCAATTCTCGTACTATTCGTGTACTTAATCTAAAAAAAAGAAAAAAATGTTTTACACTCACTACCAAAGTTTTGTCCTTTCGTTCATCATATCCAAAAATATTTATTCTTTTGTTTTGTTACAATCGTATTACTATAATTTAGTTTTCTTTATTAAAAAATTTTGTTCGTAAAATAAAATCCTTTTGTTAAAAGTATAATAAAAATGTATTTTAATTTAAATACTTAATAAATAATTCGATTCCTTGTTAATAAATATTTTAAATCAAAAAAAAAAAAAGAAAAAAGCAAGTAAGCAAATGTATTTACAACACAGTATCTAGCTACAGTAAGTTAATAAAAGGCTGTTTATGCTTTGGACTTACAAGTGGAAATGACGTTTTGAAGCCTCCATAGAGTGACGCATATTGGTGACAATCTATCCAACGTTTTGCACTTCTACCGAAGACAGTCGACTTGATAATTGCTAGCTGGCTGCTCATGGATGTGATAAGATAGAGTTGATGACTTTTGATATCGAATAACTACTATATACTTCGGTCTTAACATCACCTTCAGTAATTTTCTCATTACTTTCTTCTTGCTCTCCATCACTTAAACCGGAACTTTTCATTTCTGTTTAAATAAATGTTGGCCAAGTCTATATAACGATTTTCTAAAATTTCACACGTGTTAGTTAGTGTTGTCAATAGTTCCGTTTGCTATTATTTTAAGCAAGTGTTAGGCAAATATAGAGCAGATAAACAATGGTGCATAATAATCAGGCGTTTCGTTGACGTGCTATACTTTAATAAAAATTTTCAATATCCTTCTACTTTTGGGTTATGGAAATGCCCCAATGTCGATAATCACACTCATATTCGTCATAGCGATGGCCTTATTTTGATGGCCAGCAGAATGTGTACAGCAGACATAACACGGACGGACAATCACACAGACCGACAGAGGGACACACAGACTTGCTTAAATCGATTCAGAATTTGATGCTAGTCAAGTATATATATAATACTTTGTGGGGTCTGTGAAGCTTCCTTCATGGCGTTGCAAACGTTTTCACAAAATGAATATACCCCGAAGGCTTTGGTGATGGCTATAAAAAGGCAGCCTTCACTTTAAGTAATTTTAAAAAAATTCTCAAAGCGACGAGGTTTCGAACCCGTGTTGAGGAATTATTATAGAAGCCTTAATATTCTTTCAGAAGTGATGATGAATATCGCCTGCTGCGATATTGCAATTTTTACAAATTATTCATACCAGTCATCAATAGTTAAGGATGTGATAACACCATTATTTCGTTCAATATTCACAAATCCAGTCATGTGTACATATATAGTGTATGCAAAAGTAGAATCATCGATTAAATGTCAAAGTGATCAAATTACTGATAGTGGAAACGATCTTTTCGTCCTTTTATCTTTGATGCCTGATAAATTGATTATTTTTGTTGATAAATAGGAACAACCACCTTAATCTCTACATATTGTCGGTCACAATTAAGCAGAGTTAACTTCTTTTTTTTTTTTTTTA